CCTACAGCTAAGTCTAGCTTAAACAATAGAAACTAGTAACATCATTTAAATTAACAATGTGACATTCCAAAGTACCATTTGTGAAAAGCTAACTTGATCAAACTGCGATCATTATCTTATCTAAAATATAATCTCTCCTTAAATGATTTAAGCAAAAGTGACATTCTTATGATTAAATCTAAGTATAATTGTCTCTAAAGTTTCCACCAACAAACAGCTCACCCTTAGCAAACATTTTTTCACATTTTTCCCTACAGCAATTCTCTCAACATCTTTTAACAACAATCAGTATGTTAAATAATCAAAGTACATAATCACATCCCTAAACAGTGATTAGAATTGATTAGATGGGCTTTTGGCCGCTAGCCACAGACTGTTGTCTCCTAACAGAGGACTTTAGTCACATACATGCATTACCTAAAAACCCTATCTAAAAATTAACTGAGAATCAAGATTTCTAACCCTCCGCATTCCTCCTCCTCCTCTTCTTCTTTTTCTTCTTCTTCTTCTCTACAAGATTAAATTACATATTAGTCAGGTTGTCTTTTATTTTTCCCCAAGAAGTAATTTTGGGGTACAACAGAAATCATGTGAACAAGAAAAACGTAGACAGAAATGGCACAGAATATAGTCACCAAGGGTAGGAGACAAGGACTTTCAGTCTACTGAGAGATTCCCAATGGGAGAAGCAACATCAAATGGAAAATACAAACAGCACTAATACTGACAAATTTTTTTTCCTTCTGAAAATGGTCATAATGTCAATTTGACAGGTTCAGACTCATGGGAAGTTGTGGACTTTAGTAGAAGCCACCACCAGAGAAATATTCTTTAATTCAGAGGGGTTTGTTGATTATTGTTCCTGGAATCAAACTCTCAGGGGCTTCCTGTAGCAGGGAAAAAAGTCCAGGCCAAAGGGAGTGGGTCTGTAAGACGGCTGGTATGGGCTGCTTGCTTAGCTCAGTTGATTAGAGCACAGCCTTGTGTCAAAGGTTTGGACTCCAGTACTGGCTACCATCTAAAGAAAGAAAAAAGAAAAAAAGAAGGCTGTTGTAAGAGCAGACTATTTTTTCCCCCAGTGGCCTGGCTATTTACAGTGAAGGCAGATGTCAGGGCTCATGTTTCTTTAGTTTGTGGTCTCTCATTTTGCTTTAAATACAAGAGTACTTCAAAAAGTTTGGGGAAAAATAGAATTAGGAGATAATAAAAGCCTTTCCATGAACTTTTTGAGGTACCCTCATATGTATGAGGAGGTTCTCTTGATCCCTGTAGCTGCTATTGTTGTAAAAATACACACCTGTTTTCTTTTGCAAAGTCTTCTAAAGAGGCATATTTTGATTCATTATTATTGCTACTACTACTAAATGTGGGTTTTGGCCTAAATGCTCCCACCTTGCACACCATGGTGGTCACATGGACTAAGTTTCCAGTTACAGCTCCTCTGTTGAGTAGAGGAGGTTCTGAAAGAGACTTTGAGTTCAGGGAAGGCAGGATCACCTCACTTGGAGCTGGTGTGCTTGGTGATGACCTGGTGCTGTAGTTGCTTGGCCAGCTCCCCTGCAGCACCAGGTTCACAGCCATCTGCACCTCCCTGGATGTGATGGTCCAGAGCTTGTCATGCACCAGGTGGGCGGCCTCCCTGGCAATGTGTTCCATGATGTCTACAAGACGTCATTGAGATATGAGGTCATGATGTCCATGGCTTCAGATGACATGCCTGTGTCAGGTGCACCCGCTTCAGCATCTTGTACAAGTAGGTGGAGCAGCTCTCAGCAAGGCTTCCTGTGCCTCTTGCCTCTCTTCTTCTGCCTCTTGGTGGTGGCCTTTTGGATTTCTTCTGGGAAATGGTGTCTACTTGAGAAGCTGGTCTGGCATAATTATCACACAGCTTTTGTTTGTGAACGAAAAAGGTTTGTGAAGAATTGATATTAATAATTTATTATATGTGTTGCAACTTACCAGTTAAACCATTTGGCTCTAACTGTTCTGTGTGGAAAAATTTAAATTTTTTAATGATTTTTTTCACACTATTTTTAACATTTTGCCCTAGTGACTGTACTTGGGTTTACCATGCACCTGTTAACAATTCAGAATCACCTGTAGATCTATACGAACTTAATTTCAGTTATAAATAGAAAAACGACACCTATGTAGCCCTACACCCTTCAACAGATAGCTTTACATCCCTATCTAGCTCAAAACCCCTTCTGTGTACAGCGTTTTAGGTCTTATTCTTATACACATTACATCTATAAAAATTAAAAATTTAACAATAATCATTATAACCATTGTTTTATACATCTTTGTGTCTTTTTTTTTTTCCTTTTTGTCTTTTTTTCGTGTCCGGCAACGGATCGCAACCCTCAGTGTCGCGCCCGGACCGGACCAGGACCGGCAACGGGATCGCAACCCTCGGTGTCGTGCCCGCACCTCGCTCAGCCAGTGAGTGGGAACCGGTCTGTATGTGGGATCTGAACCCTCGGGCGGGAGCGCCACCGCGCTCCCAAGCGGCGCACTGTAGCAGGGCGCCAACCGGGCTGGCCCCATCTTTGTGTCTTTTGAAGAAGCTAGGAGAAGAAAGAATAAGTATACATTTAATGATTTTTTTGAACTAACCTTTTTTTTTATCATTTATTGTTCTCTTCATTTGACTTATATGTTTGAGTTACCATCTGGAGCCATTTCTCAACCCAGTACAGCTTTGCTCCCACCCACCTCCTTTGTACTCTTATTGGCAAATATATTACACTTCTATATGTTACAGAAAGAATAAATTGTATATATACAGTTTTATACAATTGCTTTCTAAATGTTATGATAATAAAGTAAAAAAATGTGCATTTATAGTGTTTCACACTTTCATATTTAACTTTACTGGTGCCCTATGCTGTGTGTGTGTGTGTGTGTGTGTGTGTGTGTGTGTGTGTGTGTGTGTGTGAATTTGAATTACTGTCTGTGGCCACTTGCTTTAGTCTTGTCTGGGGTCACTTGTTTCCACCCTGAAGAACTTCTTTCTACATTTCTTGTAAGGCCAGTCTGCCATCAACAAATTCTCTCAGTTTTGTTAATATAGATATGTCTATAATTTACCTTCATTTTTGAAACAGCTCTTTCTCTTTTCTTTCCTCTTTATGATAATTGCTATGTCAGAACACATTCACTAAATTTCCATTCTTAGATTACTCCAAACAGTAGCCACTGTCCTCAAAATTACCAACTATCATGAGATCCCCATGATAATAATCTCCAAGCAATTTTGGTCTCATTCTGCCACTCAAACCCACATCAATCCCTGATGGCTCACGCTGGGCATTCCCCTGTTTGAAGAAGTTTGGTGGTAGCAGAGGCTTTGAGAAACACTTGTACAGAATTCCTTTCCTACTTTGTGGCAGAAATCAGGGAAGAAAAGGCAAAGTTCAGGTCTATCACACACACACACACACACACACACACACACTGCACAGACCCACAAACATAATAAATAAGTAAAGATTAGGTTATAGATGGATGGACAGAATCTGGGAGTTTCTGGGCAAATAATTATCAGACACTGCAAGCATAAACTGGCACAAGGATTATGGAGTGCATATACTCTATGACCTGGGTTTTTTTTTTGGTTTTTTTTTTTCCTTTTTTCTGTGACTGGTAAGGGGATCGTAACCCTTGGCTTGGTGTCACCCACACCGCGCTCAGCCAGTGAGCGCACTGGCCATCCCTATATAGGATCCAAACCCGTGGCCGCAGCGCTCCCAGTGCTGCATTCTGCCGAGTGAGCCATGGGGTCGGCCCTCTGACCTGTTTTTTTATACCACTATACACACAATAACATTCTTCCACCTGTGTAGTATAATTAACTGAAGACTCACAAATTAGTTTATTGGATGAAAACAAACATCTTCTAATGGATTGGAAAAGAGTTACCATATTAATAACTTGTTTGTGAACAATTTTAAATTGTAGATAAATTAGTTTTTCATATGCTAATATGCAACTTTAAAAAATAAAAGTGAGTTTTATTACAGCAATATGTATATCAGAACTAAAAAAAAAAAAAGTTATTTATCATTATCATCCTGTAATTGGCCCACATTCAAATTGGCCCACATTTGCATTTCTCCATTATTCCCACAGTGTCCTAGATTGTCAAACCAGAAATTAATAATCACATGACTGACACATGGATAGACACATCAGTCCTGATCCATAAGGTCCTGGTGTCCTGGTAACTGCATGCCCTGTGGCAAAAACAAACAAAATTTCCACTTTGAAATCTAACATAGAGCCATAGAGTCTTATTGAGGCTGTATAGAGCAAGGACTTGCCACAGGGAGGCTGCTCATGGACATTCAGGCTGAGCAAACAGAGAGCAGCGGCAGCTTGACCACCCTATCAATCAATCAACTCGCTGTTCTTCAGAGGTCTGTGGTTTTCGGTGCAGGAAACAAAACCACAAACTACAAAAAACCCCTTTTTCTTTGATTCCAGAAAAGAGCTTGCTCAAGCAAAAAGGCACCCAAACCGCTCTTTCTCCCCCTTCTTCCTGAGTATTTCTCCCCTTAAGATAGAGAAACACCCCCATCCCAGAACAACACATAAACCGTTCCCTAGGAACTCACGGGGCGGTCCTCATTCGCGAGGAAATGCCCGCACACTCCTGCGTGTACTTTGGCTTTGAGTGTGTGAGTGTGACTCTGCCACGTAAGCTTGAAGGTACTGTCGGTTCTTGACGGGATTCTTCACTCAGGAGATCCAAGGACCTGCATCCCCGACGACATTGTGGGAAACGTGGTCTAACTTTCCAGTGAGACATCAGCACAGAACTATGGCAATGGCTCTTGGTGTGCCTTCTCTTTCATCTGCGCACGTGCCTTCCGGTTGACTCCACTTTCTGGGAAATGTAGTTTTGCCCTGCAAGGACGTCACCGATGCGGGACTGTGGGAAGGGCTTTCCGGGTTTCTTCTGCGCATGTGCTGCTCCGCCCGCTCCGCCCGCTCCGCCATCTTCCCTGTGGAGATTCCGGTTGCTGCCGCTGCACCAACGCTGCTCCTCAGCTCCTGGGGTTGGATTGTGCGTCCCTGAAGGTGGGTGCGAGGGTGGAAGAGGAGCCCGCGGTCCTCGGGGACCCTGGGGAGCGGGTCGGGTGTCCCGGCACTTGTTGGGCAGCAGCGCCGTGGAGCTCGGGCGGGCGGGGCCTGACGTGCGGCGCGAGCGCGGACCTGGGCCGGGCCGGGCCGGGAAGGGGCTCCCGGGCTGCGCTTTCCACGACGGCTCCGTCAGAAGACGGCGCTGCCGGGTGTGCAGAAGCCGGTCCCAGGTGTCCCAGAACGGGGGCTCAGGTCCAACGTGGCCACAGGAACGTGGGTGGGGGTGTGTGAAGACAGCGAGCCTGGGAGGTGTGCGGGAGGCCACGTTCCAGCTCCGCCGTCAGGGAGCCTGGTACCGACCTATGGGACATTCACTTTACCCATCTGTGACATGAGCGTGTTGACGTTAGTGTAATGTCCGCAAATTCCTAGAGGAATAATTGTGAGGTGTGTGTAGACTGTTCCTCTGTGGCAGTTGTATCTGTGGGGTTTCTTGGTGTCTCTTCAGGAAGTCGAGTTTCTGGTCCCTCCTGCACTGTACGGCCTGCCTAGCGCTCCTGGTCTGAGTTTACAGACGTTTATACCTGACCTAGTTTCCAGGGACAGTGACTTGTAGGAGGGAGATTGGGGCACTGAATGATGGTCAGGTTTTCTTTGCAGAGAAGGAGGTGTCACTGTAATAGAACCACAGTTAGGGCCCTTTGCCCGAGGTGCAGATAAAGGCAAAACTCCTAACACCGAATTTCAGTGGAAAAGTAAAGCTTTATTTACAAGGCCAAATGACGGAGATCAGGTGGCTAACGCTCAGAAAAACTCCAATCTCCCCAGAGCTGGCATGCAGGGTTGTTTTTGTTTTGTTTTGTTTTTTAAGAAAAGGGTCAGGGGTTGGGGAAGGGGCTGTGGGGGTAACTGGTGAACACTTCTTTCTGACTGGCTAAGTCAAAGCAGCAGGGCCTCATGAAACAAACAACTTTTGGTTCTTGCTATCACTCTTCCAGTTCTTATCGATCTTTCTTCTGACAGTTTACCTTGTTCAGCATATTCCGAGGGCTGGGAAAGTTCTAGTTTTTGTCCGTTAAAGACATCTCACGGATATATCTCGAGGCAATGTCTCTTCTTTCCAGAACTTGAAGGCTCTGTTTTAAGGTTTTTCTAATCACTTAGTTAACTTCCCATCCTGCCCGGCTAATTCCTTTTACTCTCTTCCTCAATTGCTGATTGTAAATCCTAGCCCCCTAATTGGAGAGTCCTATTTTCAGAGCATAAATCAGCATTAGCTTCAGGGACGAAGGCCACAGCTGGTTTTTAGAAAACTTTGCGGGGGGGGGGACTTCATCCGAATGGGATACCTACTCGGTGTCATTACAGAGTTTGAAGGAGGGCGCTCTATGAATAGGAATCCCAGGTGAAAGAACACACTTCTGGCCAGAACCCCTGCAAATAGTGCTTCAGAGCAGAGTCAAAACAATCCCAGAAAAGTGAAGATTTAGCTTTCACAGTCCAAGCAATTATTTAGTTTAGTGTTTAGAGTGCACAAGAGTTGGCTGATAAATACCTCATTCAGTAGCTACCTGAGACGGGGTGATATTGGAAGGTTTGGACCAACTTTCAGAAGGGAGAGGTGAGTTTTACTGAGGAGGATAAGCAATGGCCTAAGAAATGTTACTTATTGAAGGGGGGTTGAAGGTGATCTCTGGGGCGCAGGATAACCTATCACACCCGAGAGTATCTGTCTATGGTGCTTTCTCAACACTCCCATTTTTTCAAGCCTTAGTGTCTGAGCTCTCAAACCTAAGCCTGTTACCAAATTTGGCATTTAGAGATAGGCAGATGTTTCCACTATCCTGATAGTTCTTCCTGGTATTCAGGAAGGGTTTGCCAAGGTATTTCTACCTTATAAGAAAGATGGGGGAAAAATGAATTTGAGGAAATGTGAATTTCCAGTGTTGCATGATTTGTTGAAGTTAGACCTCCTTACTTTTTGGCTAGTGTTATCTATTTTGTCCAAACAAATGTCTATTTTGAGATTTTTTTTTTTTTTTTTTTTTTTTTTAAAATGACCGGTAAGGGGATCTCAACC